TCCTTTCCTTTCCTTTCCTTTCCTTTCCTTTCCTTTCCTTTCCTTTCCTTTCCTTTCCTTTCCTTTCCTTTCCTTTCCTTTCCTTTCCTTTTTATTTATTTATTTTCTTTTTTTTTTATTTAGAGAAATAGTTCTCATCCATGTGGACATAAAGAAAAAAGTAACAGGCATGTGGTTTTTCTTGCCTTGCAGTATAGTAAATAGTTTGTTTTCCTTCAACACAGAAGTATCCAAAGAAAAACAGGAAAAGACAAAACAAGATAAAAGAAAATAAAAAAATTATTAGCACAAAACTTTAAGTGGTTTCTATTTGGATGTTCTTTTGTATGTTTCTATGGATGAAAAGACTATCAGTTAACTTTTAAAAAGTATTATGCCCGTTTCTATTCATTCAATAGTACACTGTATCAGAGAGTCTGGAGAATGGAGGAGAGCAACCTTCATAAGGACTAGCTTGTTTTTGTCTTAGTTGAACCACACAGGGATTTTGCTTGGTGACTGATGAAGGGCAGATGTGATGCTCCAACACCACCTTTCTTAAATCCTGCCTCCTTCGTTGGAGAGTGATGCTTTGACTTTATGCTCTTCCTGGAAGAGAGCAGTAAGAAGCTATAATTCCACATTGGGCTTTTCTTTGATCCTGTGAGTTTGAAACAGCACACTTGGGACAATGGGGTGTGTGGGGAGGGAGTGAAAGGAAACAAAGGCTTCTCTCTCAGCAGTTTTGGTAGCTGAGGCTAGCAAAGCCACTTGAAAAGTCTATGTCAGTATTAGGAAAATATTCTCTTCCTCTTACGGGTTGAGCCTGTGCATCAAGGCTGGTCCCTTGGAGGTGTTTGAGCCTGTGTGTGGTCTAACCAGTTATCCAGCTGGAAAAATCCAGATATCAAATGGCACGCCTGAGACTCATCAGAGGCAGAGGGCCCAGCTGAAGCTGCACCCTTCTGGACTTCCTTCCACACTACACTAAAGCCTTTCTCTCCTGGAAAAGTGTGCCAGCCTATGACACCAATGGCTGTCGCAACTGATCGCTGCTCATCTATCTTATCATGGCTTTGTTCGCTGTCAGTAAAATCATTGGCAGGAAAAAAAAAGGATGCACTCAGGATTCTGCCTCCTCTCTAGGGCAGGTTCTCTGAAAGCTGTGTGCATGTTTGCATGGGATGGTTAGAAGCCACAAGAAAGATGCCTGAGCTCTCTGTGGGACCCATTGGAAAAGATTTTTGGCTTCGAAGGTGCTTCGTGCTTGAATTCTGGACAAGTCTTGTCTTGTATACAGTTGGGAGTTTTGCTGTCACTTCTTCTGGAAGGAGGGAAAGGCAAATGCCCCTATTCAGGAAAATGGAAACTGAAGCCAGGTTACCCACATAATCAAACAAAAAGATCCAAACAAGACGGTACATTGTCCGGGACTGTGGTCCACAAGGTGAATTCTTGGTCCTCAAACTTGACAGGGAGGCCACATCATCCACATCGGAATACTGCTCAGAACACAGGGGCTTTCACACCTAGAGGTCTGGTCTCTTTGTGGAGACCTCTGCAGGAGCAACTATGACGTTGTGCCTGCAAAAGAAGAAATCCAGAAGTAAACTTGGCAGGTCACACCGTTATTTTCTTTGTGGGGTGGGGATTTTCATGCCTTTCTCGTTGCTGTAGCTGTTTGTTAAAAGTAAGAGGAAAGGCAAGAGAACCCTATATTTTATCTTTTGAGTAGATATGACATCAAATTTTTGGTGTGGACACAGAGCTCCCATGGGGCAAAAGCTAAGAAGCCCCCGAGCTACTGCAGAGGGAGGAAAAGCAGGATGGGTGTAAGGACCTTTGGAATCCCAGGGACTTGCAGAGGTAAAAATCGGGAGATGCCCACAGAGCTGGGGAGATCTAGCTCCCATTTGGTGGGATTTGAAGAACACAAGGTGAGTGAGTGGACATGTGGCTTCTTTTCTAGGGAACTAGTCTCCTGCTAGGTGAGATATGGACAGAGCCAGAAGTCAGTTGGCCAATGCCAAGATCCTACCTTAGGGCCTCCATAGGGGAGTTCCAAGGCCAAGGTATCCATTAGGTGTCAGAATGGGAAAGAGGGTTTGACACATAAATTTACTTTGGATAGTGTCACCATTCTAACTTGACCCAACACTAGAAATGAAGTTTCTCAACAAATAGAAACATCTGTTCCATCTCACAGCAAAAGCCAGAGTCTAAAGTGGTAATTTTGAGGATGGGGCCCAGTTTCTCTCCTACTTGTAGTTCCAGGAGAAGTTGGTTTCACTGGTTGTCTGTCAAAGACATGTCTACTTGTGAATAGCAGGGTTTTTTTGTTTTTGATTTTTTCTTATCCAGGGATCATGTGGGGGATTGTGTTATAACTGCACTTGTTGGGCTGAGGCCCACAAGTGATTTTCCAGACAATATCAAGTGCAGTTTCTCTGTAGACCTTCTTTTTGATTTCATCTCACACAGTTTCTGGCACAAGGTAGATTCCAGTAAGTTACATTGAATTGGAGATCTGTTGGGGCTTATTGACTGAAGTTCCCGGGAAAAAGCTATGCCTGTATGAACCGTTCTGCATGTCTGGTTAACTGATTAGAAGGCCAATGACTGTGGGAATTAGAAAATGTTGCAGATCTAGAGGCAAATTATCTTGCGTTATCTTAGCCCCCAGACAGTCATTTGTTACCTACATCTGTGTGTGATGGAACACCCATGTGACAATTAGGTAAATCCTTTTGGAATGTATGAAGAAACACCAACCCAAAAGCTAATACTGCCATTATCAGATAGCATCTGAAGCCTGTAGCAAACAAAGGCTTCCCTCCTTTGCTACAACTTGCCTGCGTATGATGTTTCCACCAACGTATTTGAAAAGTGTCTTGATTTATGACTTTCTTTGTCCTGTTACCATAAAAACGACTGTTGCAATGTTAGAACGTAGTATTTCAGGGAAACCTAAACCTGAGTTCTTGGGCCATGGTCACTCTTATTTGGTCCCAGAATAAACTACCTCTTATACCCTTTGAGATGAGAGCTGTGTTGTTTTTTTTTTTTTGTGTGTGTGTGTTGTTCAGCCACATGCTGGGAGTATCTCAGAGGCAGACAACCTCTGCCCACTTGGTGGGTCTGAGACGCCCGCCCTTCAGACTTCGGTCTCACTGCCCCTGAGTTCCTGGTTCTGCTTTCTCTTTTTTTGTCAGTGTCTCCGGTCTCTTATCCACACGGTTCTCCTTGACCTTGGTCAGCAGGCAAAACATTAGGGTACTCCTAAGCTGGGCACGAGTGAATAAACAGCTAACACAAAGGATGGCTAACCCAGCCAACGAATAGTCAGTGGGTTTTTCCTTCAGTACCATAATCCACAGGCTTCTTATTGTAATAGGCTAGCATGTCTGTTATTTTATTGTTATTATTACAGTGCCAGGGATTGAACCCAGGACCTGATGCATCCCAGGCAAGTGCTCTGCCACTGACTTCGACATCACCAGCCTCTGTTATTAATTTTAATGAGGCTTCCTAATTGCTTTAATTTTAAAGACATTTAAAAATTAACCACTTCCAAAACTCAAGGAACGTTGTGCTCGTGTTTAATGAATGAAAGATGAGGCAATTTTCTTAAACGGCGTGGAAATTACAACTTAACCTCTCACATGTTTAGAGTGTGGGGTAAGAGATGTCACTAAGAATTACCGGCACGCACGATGGCATGGGTTGGCACTGTCGGGTAGAAAAGAGAGTGAAGGACCAGGGAGGAACTCTGGAGGTCTCTCTCGATGTGATTGATGGCAGTGACTTATGGCACCGTGTGTGCACTTGGGTCTGGGGGAATTCTCATTACTGAAAGAGGACCAGCCATCCT